GAGTACCTTCTCGTACTCAGGGTTTTATTCCCATTGTTGCAGATGATATAGTTTATCACGGCTATTGGAAGAACTGCTTCTATCCCGCCGAGTGGATGAGGAGTGAGCCTTGGGTAGGCATCTTTAATAATCTCTCTTATATGATTTTGTGGATTGTGATCATGAGATGGCACTGTATTTGAACTATGTTGGCAAATGCTAGTTTTAAACTTTAATTTACTTTCGCTACTATCTATCGAACTTGGTTTGTAATAACCTTATTTCGCATTCTGATGAATGAACTGTATCTGTGAACTTTATATAACATGTGACATGTATGTTGAATCATGTACGATCTTGGTTGTATGTGAATTGTTTATCGAGAACCGTCGTGGTATTCGACGGACTACCGGGTTGATTCGGGCTCAAGTATGACAGTGCGACCGCTTGCGGGCTACCATTGTACCTGTGCTCTTATAAATTGGTCGGTTCTGCGACAACAAGACCAAGCTACGCCCTATCTGCACTAAGTGACCGAACTCAGCTAGGGAGGGTTCGGTCCTTCCGAGCCCAGAGTCCGGTCGCTGCAGACCTCCTCCTTTTCTTTTTCTATCTCCTCAAACACTTCACTCTTGCTTTCAAGTTGCTTATCACAAAGGCCCCGTTCGGCTTACCCCATATTCGGCTTGTTCGGTTTGGTTTTTCAGTCGGAACAATGTTTCTCTCTCACAACAATTCAGCCAGAACAGTATTTTTCAGCCAAGATTCAGCAAGCCGAACGGGGCCTGTATAACCCATGTGCACGTTTGTTAGCATTTTTCCAAGCATTTTTTAAGGGTCAATTGTTAGCACACTAAGTCCTAATGCATATGCAAGAATTATTTCACCTAGTGGCACTCGATAACCGCTTAGCCAAGGTTTTTCCCTCTTAACACACTCACACCTTCTACGGTGTCTTGAGTAACAAAACAAAAACCTATTTGATACATCTGCCTTGATCAAAAACTTGGTTTTTGTTTTTCTCTTTCTTCTTTTTTAAGTTGGAGCACTTAATCATCTCTTTTTGGTCACCTCCATCACCATGACCATCATCTAGCTCCATCACTTGATGTGTATAACCCTATCTCAATCACAACACTTAATAACAAGGAATAGTATACTAGGTTTCATCAATTAGCTAAAATCAAACTAGGGCTTTCAAACATCCGTAGCTTTGTCTCATTTACATTTGCGTTACCACATATAGGCCCCGTTCGGCTGACAGAATTTTGACTGAAACTGACTGAAAAACACTGTTCTGGCTGAATTTTTGTGAGAGAAAAATACTATTCCGGCTAAAAAAAGAAACCAAACAAGCTAAATATGGGGTAAACTGAACGGGGCCATATAACCAAACATCATACAAGATCAATTAAACCGCATTGCTTTATGGGATAAGCACGTGTACAGCCCCCACTCCACTTTTTATTTGGATGTATAAATAATGTTAAGATCCTGTGCATAGAGTCGGAATTTCCTAATTTTGCATAATCAAAAAAAGCATCCTGCCATATATGAAGCCAGTACGTTGGTGATGGGGATCTCCATATAAGCAAACTAAATTAAAATTAACAGCATCACACTTTATATGCTAACACATATAGCGCCCGTTTGGTCGGGCTCCGACGGCTCTGGCTCCTCCCGTGTTCATCTCCTGTAGCTACACTGTTCACCGGAGCTATTTTTCTCTCTCCTCCTTTCCTCTCTCACTGACAGCGCCAGATCCAGAGAAACTCATTTTTTTTGCTCCTTCGGCTCCAGCTCCTACGCGCTACAGTTGCGCTACAGTGTGGGAGTCAGAGTCGGCGAGAGTCCGGCCAAACGCGCCCATAGTAGTGGCTAGACAAACCTACAATACTAATAATATATATAACATCAGTTCACATCGCCCAAAGACTGATGGTGGTGGGCCACAAGCATGAACTTACGTCTCCTACACGAAAATGATCATTAACTGAGCTACAGTAATGAGAGGTTGTCCTCAACCGGAGACCCATTGTGGAACACAAACCTAAAATGAATCTCCAACACAATATCTATAGGTCCCGTTCGGCTGGCAGAATTTTGGCTGAAACTAGCTGAAATATAATGTTCTGGCTGAATTGTTGTGAGAGAAAAACGCTGTTCCGGCTGAAAAAAGAAGCCGAACAAGCCAAATATAAGGTAAGCCGAATGGAGTCATAGCCTCCAACAGAGTACCTATATGGAAGACTAATTTTAGGTGGCAGGAGAGGCATAACCTAAATTTGAGTATCCTCTTACTTGAGATCTATTTATAGAAATTGTTGTCTTTTAGATCATGTTGTTGAAGAAGACAAAATAAAATAGGTATTGAATAATTTACACGTAGCGCTGTCAAAGGAAGATGTTGTATTTTGGGTTGCTGTTGTTGAAGACGGTATGATATGAAAACCACAGTACAATACGTGTAGATGACGTCAGGCAAACAGTTCTAATTAGAAGGCTCATGGCTCCGATGATGATGACCTGTAATGGCCATCAAAAGACTGTTTGAGTGTTTAGTGGGAAGAACAGCAGACCAGTCCTGCACTCCGCCATCTCAAACCTGCAAAACCCGCAGCTGACCCATAGGCCACAGGGAGGGGAGAAGGAGCTTTGGCCTGGACCGTGGAGGGAGCAAGTCGGCGACGGGGTACGACAGCGGGGCCCGAGGAGGCGGCAGGGGCGGCGGCGAGCGACAGAAGCCCAGCTACCACTGTGATCCCACGACGGGGAAGAAAGGCGGCAGGCACGAAGGCCCAATAGCCAGTAGCCACTGAGGGAAGCGCACTCTGTTTGGGAAACTGCAGGAGAGAAGGCCCGGGGAGGAGGGGAGGAGCCGGGAGCGCGAGAGGGGGATCTCCACTCGGCAGCCTGACACTCTCGCTCCCAGTCCAAGCGCTCGCCGCACCCGCCGCCATTTCCTCCGCCGGATCCTCCGCGCTCCCGCTCCACCACCCTCCCCGCCGCAGCGCGGCTCCTCCTCCTCCTCCCGCCCGCCCAGTGGAATGCGGAGAGATCCATCCGGGAGTCGGTGGATTGGTTTCTTCCTCTGTTGGTAAGTGATTCCTGTCGGGCTTTGCCTGGACGGATTCCCTCCTTCTAGGAGTTTTCGTTTCTTTGTCGCCAGGCGAACCGAATCTTGCTTCTTACGCACGCATTGTGCTGCGGATAAGCGTGCGTCTATCCGTTCAGGACCCGGTTAGGTTCTTCTTCCTCTCCGCCGGTGCGCGAGACTGGAATTAGCTTCCACAATGGCACAATGGGGTCTCTTCGTCCCCAATCTGAAGTTCATGTTCTAACAATTTTTCCGGGTTCAGTTTTTTTTTTACTCAATTCTCGAGGGTTTATGGTCAGAAAGCTTAGGGGATGTTATTGGCGGTCGAGTTTTGCTATTGCGGTAGGTTAATAGTGGATCCTAGAGGAGTGTTGTTCAGTGAAGTGTGTAATTCTTAGTTTTTACGAGCACCTTTTTTGATTACGCAAGGTGCTTCTTGAGGAATTTTACCAGATGTTTCATGCTTCTTTCTTTTCCCCTTTTTCTAAGGGTTTCTTTAATTTAATTGTGAGGTTAGTAGATCATTTCGATCATCTCCCTGTTGACGCACCAGATGCAGCTAGCGGTGTTTGTGGATTGCGAGATGGTGTGGGCTTGAATGTGAGCTTTTCCAGTGGTGTGGTGTTTGTCTGGTTTGTTTTCCCGACACATTTTTTTTGGAGACATGCCTCTGGGTTGGCTGTTTTCTCTGGATTGGGTGGAACTTTTCGTCCAGAATGTGATGGATTGGGCAGATTGGGCTTTGGAGTGCAACAATTATGATACGCTTCAAGTTTTGAGGATCCTTTTGTTTGCTTTCTAGAAAGGTAGTACTACCTATGTTAGCATGAGGTATTGGGTAGATAATTTTGTGCGGTGGTGAGATCGCTTGGTTACTTTGGGCAATGCATGGTTCACAAGTCAAAGAGTTCTTTTATTACTTTCCATTTCTTGCCCTCCGTTTGCAGTGTCAGCAACTCTCTTCGTATATTTCACCAATGTTCAAAAAAACGCTAGACGCTAGGCGAACGCTAGCCTATGGTTTAGAGTTTAGGAAGTTTAAACGTGATTAAACGTTATTGAGGCAGACAGGCAGTACACATTCAATCTTAACCCTAAATCCCCAATCCAATTCATCAATTGAGTGATTGACATGCAGAAATCAAAACTACAGAGCATGGGAAGATGGGGAGAGACCGAGGGGGCACCTGGAGAGAACGAGCGAGGGGTTGGGCCTGCACCGGCCGGCCTCTGCGTTGCCGTTGTCGACTCCTGGTCCTGCGCCGGCGGCCTGCCCTCTGTTGCAGGCGACGGCCCCTGCGCCTGCGGCCTTTGCGGCTGCCAAGGAGAAGGGGAGCCCCAGCGACGACCCCTACGGCCCTACCAACGGCGGCGAGGAGCGACCAGGCGGGAGGCGGGACTGGAGTGCGACAAATCCCGACTCTGTTTCTTGCGGCCGATTTGTGCCCCCGCGTCGGGCCCGCCTGCTGTTTTCCTCACCCTCCCGCGCTTCTTTCCCGCGCGCGATTCCTTCCCTCTTCCCGCCCGCGCGCCGCGCGCTTCCCTGCTCGCGAGCTGCGCGTTTTCCACCGCGTAGCTCCGTTTTTTGACTGATTCCGCGCCGTTTAATCGCTGCCGCGCGTGTAAACGAGCGCCTAGGCGCGCCCAGCGTCTAATTGAGCGTCTACCCCCTAAACGCAACGCTGGGCCAACGTTCAGCGTTTAAACTAGATTAAACGACGCTTAATAACGTTTTTTTGAACATTGTATTTCACAAGGATACATGCCAAATGCCTTTTGAATTTTGGAGCATTTTTTGTTTATGTTCTTTACTGACAAAAGCCTATTTGCAGATACTTCAAATGGACTATTATGGACTTAGTTTGATATCTGAAAAAGAAAGAGCATAGCTATACTCCCTTTGCGAGACCAATAGACTATAAAGATGCTCTCCTCACCATCACCTAGGAGATCTCTGAAAGAAATCTCCCACACAAGGGGGCATAGTTTTGTGAGTATTCTACCTGCTAAATCGAAGGATGATGAACTCACGTTGTTCAAGGATATGCAGAAACATGAGAGGGATAACTTCTTACTGGAACCAGGAGAGGATTTTGATGAATCCATCTGTAAGGCTCATAAATATCATTGCTGTAATCTGCCCCCAGTTTTTGTAACACTGTACCTAGTGTGAACTTTGTGATTTAACTGATTTTTTTTCACTAACACTTAACTGATATGTACTGTCTGTTCTTTATTTCTGGCCCTGTTTATCAGCAAAGTTGAGCTATTTTCGGGATTTAAAGCTTGGTGTCAACATCGCTGCACGGGGAGAAAGCCGTGATTTGCTTAATGCTGATGGTGAAAGAAATGATTATGATTGGTATGCACACTTAATAGCACATGTTTCTTTGTTTTGCTCCATGCTTAATACACATGTTATTTTGTTTAGTTTCAACAAATATAGTATCTTTTGGAAGTTTAAGATTTCAATGATTACTATAGTTTGTGGAGCAATGTGAGGGATGTCATATCTATTGCTTATGTTTAGTACAAATTGACTCTCATACAATTTTCAGTAGTTAAGCAGCAAGTTACAAATTGCTCAGTTGTCTGGTTCATTATGTGGTGTGGCTTACTGGCATAGGTAGTTGATCAGATGTGATAGATCCTCATCGTCAGACTCCTGACATCGGATGCATACTGCTCTTAAAATCAAGAATTTTGAGAACAAAATACAAGATTTGAGAGTGGATGGGATGCGTGAGAGGTGCAAGGCTGGGGTCCTGGCCCTCGCCATGAGCCTGGAGCTGTGCCACCTAAAGTGGAGCACCCCTTGCTGTAGGAGAGAGACAGGGAGTGGGGAGTGTTCCTTGACAGTTCCTTCCCTTTATTGATGATTCCTGCCCATTGTTTAGAGTGAGTTGCCTAACAATAATGTATGAATGCATAGAATGTAATAAAATCATATAGTAACCTCAGGCACTCCTTATTTGATCTGCAAGAAACTAGCCACGGAGCAGCTTAGTCCGCGCCACCCCGACGTTCAGAGAGGGAGAGGGAGGGAAGGTTTTGATCTCTGCAGAATCTGCTAGCAAATTCAGGGAGGTGAAACTGCAAATTAATAGTCCAGGGACCTAGGGCGTGTTCGGTCTCCAGGCTAGTTTTGCCTAGCCTTGCCTGCGCGAGCGAACTTACCTTGCCAGCTCGGGTGAGAAAAAATCACTCTCCCACCATAGCAAGCAAAAAGCTTGCCAACATAGACCCCGAGCATGGCTTGCCTGGAATCCAAACGTCTTCTTCCTTTGGTCACCTAGCAAGGTAAGGTGAGGCAAGGATTCATCCAAGGACCAAACGTGCCCCTAGATGATATCCCCAAACCAGTTTAAGGACCATTAGTGCATTTCACTCTTTTTACTATTCCTCACTAAGCATTCTCTCTGTAAGATTGGTGCTTTTGTTCGGTCTACAACTATTCTATCAGGCCATATAAAGGAACAGATGCCTTTACCTGTCACTGTACAATTGCTGGCTAGGCCACATAATTAGATCGGTTAGGCTACAATGCCCTAGGCGCTTCATCAACGAAAAGCAGTTATCAATCTGAATACTATCAAACAATAACCTATTGTTAGAATATCTCTTGTTAGTTCTGCTTATTCTCGGCATACAATAAGTTTATATGGATAATCGAGTTCTACATTTTTTGCAAACATGGCATGTGCTTGTTTTCTTGTCGAGTAGTTGCTTTATGGCCAAACATCTCATCTCTGCTGAGTAACGGTTTCTAATTGGTGTGTGATTCCTGTACCCCTCAAGAAGCTTCATGAGCTAGTTTTCCATTTCTTTTTTCGTCTAGTTAGTTTTAGGTTTTTCTTATCTGAAGTGTACACAAAAAATGATGCAAGGGTCCCAACCATCATTATGAACTCTGATGCTTGCTGTACCTTTCACATGCTTTGTTGAACTTATTGACTTTTGTCCTTTCTAAAACAGTAAGACTCCACTTACTTATAGTGCTTGTGTCATGTGGGGTATATGTGTGTGGCCAGGGGCAGCTACAGCTGGCATTGAATCCAGGGCCACTCAGCCTAGGGCTGGTGGCATGGTCTGGCTTTGCCTTGTTCATTAAGTTAGGGAACTTGAGTTTCAACACGCTATCTCCATGTCTACTGCTGTTGAGGGCCAGGGCCTAAACCACCCACCATATAAGTTGTCAATTGTTTTATTAGCAATTTGGCATTTTGTATGTCGAATGTAAGCCATCACATGTCTACCATCTAACTTTTGGCTTAATAGGTTGTTGACTCCACCAGAGACCCCACTTTTTTGTTCATTGGATGATGAAGAAGACCAGCGCATTGGTATGGCTCATAGGGGCAGGCCGCAGATTAAGCCAATATCAATTTCAAGGTCATCCACAGTGAGTGCTCACCTCATGACATGTTCCTGCATTCATAATTTTCAGTTGACAAGACCTACCTGTTGAAGTGTGAATATTCCTTTCTGATTTTACACAGATGGAAAATACTCGAAGGTCTAACAGAAGCAGTGCAAGCCCAAGTAGGCTTAGCCCATCACCACGCTCATGTAGCAGCACTGTGTTGACAAGGACTCGATCATCAAATTCTTCTTCACGAAGCAGCCCTGCACTTCATTTGCAACCAGCAGCACCATCACGAAGGTCTTCAACTCCTCCAGCTTCTAAGACATCAACCCCTCCACGAAGGTCACCAAGTCCTGCTTCAAGGAGGTTGAGTACTGGCTCAAGTGACCCAATTTTAAACAGAAAAGGAGGAACTTCGCCTATTAAAATCAGTAACAGGCCATCTTCACCAAAATTTCAAGGTTGGCAATCAAGTGACCCTAGTTTCTCTTTTGAGGCACCTCCGAATCTACGCACATCTCTGTCAGATCGTCCAGTATCCTGTTCAAGGGGTGGATCTCCTTCATCTTTCAGTGGATTGGACATGAATTGGAGAGGTAGAAGGCAATCTATGTCTCCCACTCCATCAAGAAGAACCAGTTCATCGCATAGCAATGATCGATTCAGCTCGTACAGCAAAGCATCTGCAACATCTTCTGCTGAAGATGATCTAGAGTCTATGCAGTCTGTGCCAATTAGTTACTCCAGTAGTCCAGCCCTAAGAAAGAACTTGTCAGTAATGAAATCCAGAACTATTGCATCACCTAAGAAGCCGTCCAAGAGTTTCTCCCCTAGTTCTGCTCCAAAGCGGTCCTTTGATTCTGCAGTCTGGTTGATGGTAAGCATTGTTCCATTACTTTTACTTTTAGTATGATGTAATATTTGTTCTGCATTGCATGGTAAAATCCCCCTAGGCGCCAATTATTAACTCATGTAGTAAGTTGAAAAAGTTTGCTATCCTTATATTTTTTGTTACACCTTTGCGTGAAAGTATGTTGTCATTGCCTTTGCTTCACATGATTGTTGAAACAAAGAGATGATTTGTACTTTTCTTGTATTTTGTGGCCACCGTTGTATTTGATCAGTTGTATTGATGGCTCCTAATGATCTGGTACATGATTACATGTCATATACTGTTCTGTAGTCATTTCAATGTTCATTGTACTTCTCTTGTAGAACTGCACTTCTTATGCACCAAGGCTAATCTATTTTTTTGCAGTTAGTTTGCTTTTAATGCAAGCAAGATCCCTTGTTTGATGTTTTCGATTGTCCGCAATATAACAAAATGCCATACCCTTCTCTAGGATCATCGCAAAGCTCCTCAAGATAAGTTCAGGCCACTTCTATCAAGTGTTCCTTGCACGACATTTGGTGTTGGCAAAGGAGATAATGTACACTCATCTATGTTGTCACATAACTCCTCACTCACAACAAGCAGTAATTTAAGCTCTGACCATGGTGTCACTTTTAGCCCTTGTATGGGTAATGAACAAGAACCGAGTGATATAGTCGGTGACTGTGAAGCAACACCTAGTTCCTTGATTCATGATGATATATTTATGTTTGATCAATTGGATGAAGGATCCAGTGGTCATCAGCACAGTTTGTCTGCTACTCAAAGTGGCCCAAAATCTCCAAGCACAGAAAAATATGCGGAAAGTAACATAGAGGGCCTCAATATGGAAAGAAGTAGAATAGCTCAGACTTCATGTAATGTCGCAAGTGGTTCTAAGGCTGGGCAAACTAAAATGGCAACATGCACTAGGTGTGGAAAGTTATTTAATGCGATAGAAGATGATGGAGAAGTTGATTTCTGTGAAGAATGTGGTTTAGTAGATGAGGTCCTTTTTGTGGACCCTAAGATAGAGACTTCGGAAGAAGAACATCGAAAAGACTACAGAAGTTCTAAACCTTGTGTTGCATTGGAAGCTCCTCTCATTACTCCAGATCATGGTGAACATATCAAGAAGTCATCTCTTGACAGTCAGCTGGTGAATGATGAACCTCCAGCTGATTTTCTGCAAAAATGTCCTCAATCCCAGTCAACAATGGATACAACCAACAGAATGCATGGAGAGAATGTTACTGAAAATTTATGGCCAAATGATGTTGGCAACTCTTCCCGAGGAAATAGCCTCGATATTTCATCCCATCAGTGTAGCATAAATAATCATCAACAAACGGAACCAGCATCTGTAATTGAGTGTGATAATTTAAGAGATCAAACTGCCAACCACCACAATGAGGTGTTCCAATGCCTGCCGGGGTCAGTGTATCAAAGCATTGAATTTGCCTCTGATACACTTACCATTGACAGTTCTTGTAAACAGGGATCGGCTGGGCATTCAAATCTAAAGGTTGAAAATACAGAGGGTGCTGGGATTTCAGTACTCTTGCTGCAGAAGTCAAGCAGCAACAAATGGCCTGTTATAGAAGGGAGACCCTTAGCTGGTACAAACATTGTCTGTTCGGAACCATATTATACAAGGGATGGTGTCAGTACGCTGAAGTGTACCATTGGATTGGATAGCTCATCAGTTTCTTCTTCCATTGATCAAGGGTCTACAAGGCAATCTGGACATTTGGAACGCCTTAAAAGTAGTAATCGTCATGACTTTGAGAAGTCTCAAATAAGTAGTACCATGAGTTGTAAAAGCATTGCATCCATGTCAGATATGTCAACTAGCACTTGTTCAGTTTCAGTTTGTCCTCGGGGTGATACAATTGTAGATACTGGCTTCCTAACCGACAATTCAGAAAGCAGTGTTCCAAGAACCATGATTTGTACTGAAGAACTTAATGAGTCGTGTAAGTACACACTCTCAAGCGCTATAGAGTGCTGGTCTGCCGCACAGGCTATTGTTAATGTTGACATTGGTTCAACTGAAGATGTAGTGATTCAGAAACAATGTACAGGTAGGATGGCTCACAAAGATAACATAAGTGATCACTCATGTTCATCAGATACCGAAACATGTAGCAATATCCCACTCTCTCTGGCTCCTGAGGAAAGTTGCATACAGAAAACTGAAGAAGGTACCTCAGTTGGCACTCCAGAACACCCAGATGATGATTGTGGCAGCAATAGTTACCGAATGCAGCATGAAACAATTCCTGATCCTAATGAGGCAAATAGGTTGGATGATGGTTGTGTGTCTGTCATCTCTGAGGAGGATGTGTTGATTCCTGCAGCAGAGGCCAACATAATGGGGCTTCCTGGTAATGGTATGTATTCATGACTTGCTAATTTTTTGTACTCACTTGTTAGCTCAAAAGTTCTGGTTTTCTATCATGTTCCTAGTATTCTTGCAAATGATGTGTATTGCTAAACATTTTCCATATGAACATCATACATCCTTATATTGAAAAAACATATCATTTTTTTTTGTAAATAGGCTCCTTTTGGTATTTAGTGACTTTTCAATAGCCCTTATTTTCTGTTTTCAATATTTGGACGTGGGAGTTAGGGAGCAGCATCTTTTCAAGTGATTTTGTTGCCAATACAAGCTGATTGCATACCTTTTTCGATGTTGTCTTAGTGTCAATGCTTGTCAAATCAAAAACAAAACAAACACAATATTTTGAGGATGTAAGTGTAAAAAGAACAAAATACGAATTGCAAATAGTACCAGCAACCAGCCAGTTGTTGATGGTTACCTGTTATAAATCGGCTAGTCGACCCTAGTCGCCATAGTACCGACCAGGCGACTAGTCGACCCTACTCAGTCCTTGTCATCTGTATATACCAGGACCTATAGCGTATATAGTATAAATCAAGCATCAAGACTAGAGGTGTGACACAGTTGCTACTTGCTACTAGAAACAGCATCAAGCTTCAAGGAAAGACAAGCTGCAGAGAGGAGTGACCAAGCAATGGCTAGCCTTTGGAGGAGGAGCTCATCTTCTTGCTCCCTTGGACCTTGATTGATGGAGGTGTGATCCAGCGGGAGCAGATCCTTTATCCGGCAGTGCTTGACCTGGTTGAGGCAGGAAAGAGAGCTGGTGCTTCTTTTCGTGCCCCATGAGCTTTCCCCGCACAGCTGAGGTGGGGATGAGAGGCAGCAGCAGGAGGAGGGAGGAGGCACAACAGCTGGGAAGGCTAGAAGGGAGGAGGGAAAGACCGGTAGCAGCAGGGATTGTTGTGCACTTGCGCCGGTGGCCGGCAATGGGTGCACAAGCTCCTGGCAGCTGGGGATGCGGGTGGAGTGGTAAAGGAGAGAAACCTATTGGGCTTTGACCATCCTAGCCCAGTGATCTGATGTAGCCCAGTTCGCAACTGCCTGTCTAGTCATCCAACTAATCGGATGATTAATCATGATTAGTCGATGACTAATCGGACAACCAGGTTTCTGGTTGCTCTAATTGAGTCCAAGGGACCGACTAGGACTATTAATGGCGATTAATTGGAACCCGCCATACTGAACTGAACCAGTAAAATTGACTAATTTGTTTTTTGTATCCTTGGTTGTATTACAACCAAATTCACGTACTTCCTCCGTTCCAAATTATAAGTCGCTTTGATTTTTTTGGTTCATCCATTTTGCTATGTATCTAGACATATTATTTATCTAGATGCATAGCAAAATGGATGTATCAAAAAAGTCAAAGCGACTTATAATTTGGAACGGAGAGAGTACATAGTAGAGTGGAGAAAAAAGGATTCTGAGTGGTTGGTTAGTGTGACAAGGCAGATATTATCTAAAGATAACTCATAACTTGACTAGAAGCCTTTGGTCTAAAAAAACACTTGACTAGAAAAGTATGGCTGTCTAAGCTTGTGTAAATCTAGGTCAAACCAAATACCCCCTTCATTTGTTGAAGGTCATAATACCAAGAAAGTAGTTTCTTTATGTTATTAAGTGTGAAGGAGCATAATACATGTAAGACATAATCTGCTGCTGATCTCTCGCTCTCTCCCTGCAGCAGAGTTGGCACTTTGGTCAGCTCATTGCTGCCCTTGGCCCTGTTCAAGGATGGCAATAGGCCATCACTTGTACCAGGATGTACCTTAGGTAGTAGTGGCTTAGCTCAGCCATATCTTAGTTGTTGAGGCTGACTTCAGCCATGTCCTAGAGGACATTGTAGTAGGTGTACTAGTGTACCTTAGGAGGTACTAGTGGCTTGTATATATATCACCACAAGGCAATGAAAACATTCAGTTCAGTTTGCCACATTCAGCAGCAGATCTTCGGCCAGGGCTGGTGCTTGCGCTGTGTGTGTTGTTGAGCTCAGTCCCTTCTTCTACCTCTAGCCATAGTGAGTGTGCTGGTAAGCTTGTTGCTTACCTGTGTAGGCCAGCAAGGGACCAACAAGTGGTATCGGAGCCGTACAGCGGCGTCGCCGTACTAACCGCCGGCGGCGATGGCGGGTGATGGCTCGAAGATGGGCGACAGCAGCGCCGCTGCTGGGGCTGCCTAGCCACGATAGGAGGTTGTGCGCACGGTGCGGGAGGTCAGCGGCACCAGTTGACCAACGCTAACTCGCACCAACTATGGTGAGTGGGCGGTGACCATGAAGGTCAACCTCAGAGCCCGACGGCTCTGGAATGCTATTGACAAGAGCACCGACAATGAAGAAGACAAGACATGTCAGCGATGGAGGCTATCCTCGCTGCTGTGCCTACGGAGTACCGGGAGCCATTGGGGGCGAAGAAATCTGCTAAGGAGACGTGGGAGGCCATTACAGCGATGCACGTTGGCTCCGATCGCGCAAAGAAGGCGACGGCCCAGCTGCTAAAGCAGGATTACGCCAACCTCAAGTTCAAGGATGGTGAGTCGGTGGAGGACTTCTCTCTCCGCCTGCAGTCGCTCATCAGCAAGCTGGGGAGCCACGGCGTCACCATCGACGAAGAAGAGGCGGTCTCCAAGTATCTCCACTCCGTGCCGGTAAAGCACATCCAGATCGCTCTCTCCATAGAGACGATGCTGGACCTGTCCACCCTCACCATTGAGGATGTGACCGGCCGTCTGCGGGCGGTGGACGAGCGCATGGAGCAGGCCATGGCAACGACGAACAGCGGCAAGCTGCTGCTGACAGAGGAGTGGGCTGCCTGGATGAAGGAGAAGAAGTCCGAGGAAGCCTCCTCCAGCCGCGGTGGCGACGGCAAGCGCCTCGGCAAGGTTTCTTCGGAGAAGAAGAAGAAGGTCGACCCCAACGCCTTTCGGCGCTGCGGGAAGACGGGTCACTGGGCGAAGGAGTGCCCGAGCCACAAGCAGGAGAAGAAGGCTGAGGCCCATCTGGCGCAGGTTGATGATGAGGATGAGGCCACTCTCCTGATGGCATCGTTCTGTGCCCTGCATGATGTCGAAGCAGAGGAGAAAGCAGAGGAGGTGGCGATGGCGGAGCAGGGGAAGACTCTGAAGGCTGTCGACCTCGACGAGCCGCGCGTCCCAAGTCCATTTCAGACGTGTGGGCGGCGAAAAGGAGTAGAGGTGGTACTTGGACTCCGGGGCCAGCAACCACATGACGGGCACCAAGGCGGCCTTCTCCGAGCTCGACGGGAACGTGACCGGCACGGTGAAGTTTGGCGACGGCTCAAGGGTGGCGATCCGAGGGCGCGGCACCATCATCTTCAGGTGCCAGAATGGTGAGTACCGCGCGCTAACAGATGTGTATTACATCCCGCAACTACGCTCAAGCATCATCAGCATTGGGCAGCTGGATGAGCGCGGGAGCGAGGTGCTGATCAAGGAAGGCGTCCTCAGGATCAGGGACCGGGAGCAGCGGCTTCTCGCTAAGGTGAAGAGATCCCGGAACCGGCTGTACCAGCTTGACTTGAAGGTGGAGCAGCCCATCTGCCTGGCGGCGCGGCGCACAGAGGAGCCGTGGCCGTGGCACGCCTTGCCAAATCACCATCTCGGTTTTGGCGCCCTCGGCAAGTCAGAGAAGATGGTCCGGGCCTCCTCATCGAAACCACGCAGCAAGCCGTGTGAGCCGCTGGCCGGAAGCGAGGAGGTTGCCGCTCGAAGACGGCGGCATGCCGCGACAGAGGCCCTCGAGCTGGTCCATGGCGACCTCTGCGGACCTATCACGCCGGCGACGCACGGCGGGTGCAAGTACTTCATTCTGCTCGTGGATGATTGTAGCCGCTACATGTGGCTGTAGCTCTTGACGAGCAAGGGCAAGGCGACTGAGGTGATTAAGAGGTTCAAGGCGCGTGTAGAGGCCGAGAGCGGGAAGAAGCTGCGCATGCTGAGGACGGATCGCGGCGGCGAGTTCACCTCGGCGGAGTTCGCCGCGTACTGCGCGGATCAAAGGGTGGTGCGCCACCACACCGCGCCGTACACGCCGCAGCAGAATGGCGTGGTGGAGCGGCGGAACCAAACGGTGGTCAGCATGGCGAGGTCGATGATGAAGGCCAAGAAGATGCCGGCGGAGTTCTGTGGCGAGGTGGTGACTACGGTGGTGTTCATCCTCAACCGCGCGCCCACAAATGCCTTGAAGGGCAAGATGTCATTCGAGGCTTGGTATGGGCGCAAGCCGAACGTGTCGTTCCTCAGAACGTTTGGCTGCGTCGGCCATGTGAAGAACACCAAGCCTCACCACGGCAAGCTAGAGGACAGGAGCACACACACCCATGGTGCTCCTAGGCTACGAGGAAGGCAGCAAAGCCTACCGGCTCTACGATCCCAAGGGAGGCAAGGTCGTGATCTCCTGGGATGTGGTGTTCAACGAGATGGCGGCCTTGGATTGGGAGGACTCAGGCATGGGGGAAGCTAGTGGCATCAGCGGCACGTTTGCCGTCGAGCACCTGGTGATTCAAGGAGGAGGAGATGCAGGCGCCGAGGAGCAGGCTGCGGATGGGTCAGGTCCGGCAGCTGAGGTGACCGAGGAGGAGCCGCCAAGCCTGTCCACGGCGGGCGCGGGCGAGCAATCTCCACCAGCAGCGGCGCACTCGCCTCCACCGCAGTCCCCTGCTTCGGCAGGACAGGGGACGCCTCCGCTCGAGTTCACTTCCCCGCCCACCGACATCGACGAGTATGTGGACGCCTTCCACGACGGCGAGGAGGTGCGTTTCCGCCGAGTTGACAACATCGTCAGCGACGGGGGAGCACCTGGGCTGGCCACTCGCATCCTCGACGATCCAGAGCTGCTTCTCGTCAGCGCGGAGGAGCCGCCCATGTTCGTAGTGGCCGAGCTCGACGCCAATTGGCGGCGGGCGATGCTAGAGGAGATGAAGGCGATCGAGGACAATGGGACCTGGGAGTTGTTTGATCCGCTGGCTAGCTGCCGGCCGATAGGGCTCAAATGGGTCTACAAGGTGAAGCGGGACGAGCGCAGCGCCATCGTCAAGTACAAGGCACGTCTCGTCGCCCGCGGCTTCATCCAACGCGAGGGCATCGACTTCGAGGAGGTCTGTGCTTCGGTGGCGCGCATGGGGAAGGAGGAGCTTGTCGGCGGCGTGTACGTGGATGACTTAATCGTCATCGGAGCGCGAGCAGAGGACATCGACGATTTCAAGCGCGAGATGGCGGCTCGTTTCAAGATGAGCGATCTCGGCGCACTCTCCTAATACCTCGGCATCGAGGTGAGGCAGGGGAAGCAGAGCATCTCCCTGGGTCAGCGCGCCTACGCGGAGAAGCTGCTGGAGCGCGGCAGCATGGCGGAGTGCAAGCCGTGCGCGACTCCGATGGAAGAGCGGCTGAAGCTGTCCAAGCACAGCACGACGGCAAAGGTGGACGCGACGCGCTACCAGAGCATCGTCGGTGGGCTGTGCTACCTCACACACACTCGGCCGGACATCGCATTCGCGGTTGGGTACGTCAGCCGTTTCATGGAGGACTCGCGCGAGGATCACTGGACGGCGGTGAAGAGGCTGTTGCGCTATGTCAAGGGGACGCTCGATCAAGCAATCATCTTCCACAAGCATGGCGGCAAGGGTGGGCTGCGCCTCACGGTCTTCAGTGAGGCACCCCCCAAAACAGAGGAAGGTGAGCCGGAGCTCAATGTCTTCAGCGATGCGGACATGTCGGGCGACATTGATGGGCGACGGAGCACCTCCGGCGTGCTCGTCTTCCTTGGAGCGGCCCCCGTTGCTTGGCAGTCGCTGAAGCAAAAGATCATGGCACTGTCGACGTGTGAGGCGGAGTACGTTGCAGCGGCCACGGTGGCGTGCCAGGCTGTCTGGCTGCGCCGGTTGCTAGGCGAGCTGACCGGTAAGGAAGCTCACCCGCCAGCTCTAATGGTGGACAACCAGCCCTCCATGGCCCTCGCCAAGAACCCGTTCCTCCACGACCGGAGCAAGCACATCGACATCAAATTCTACTTCCTCCGGGACTGCGTCGATGGAGGGCAGATTGTCATCGAGTTCGTCGAGACTGGTAGACAGCTCGCTGACATCCTCACCAAGTCACTCGGGTGCCTGCGGTTCATGGAGCTGAGGAAGATGATTGGCATGGATGAGGTCAAGGCTCAGGTAAGGATTAGGGGAAGAATTGTAAGACATAATCTGCTACTGATCTCTCGCTCTCTCCCTGCAGCAGAGTTGGCACTTTGGTCAGCTCATTGTTGTCCTTGGCCTTGTTCAAGTATGGCAATAGGCCATCACTTGTACCAGGATGTATATTAGGTAGTAGTGGCTTAGCTCAGCCATATCTTAGTTGTTGAGGCTGACTTCAGCCATGCCCTAGAGGACATTGTAGTAGGTGTACTGGTGTACCTTGGGAGGTACTAGTGGCTTGTATATATATCACAACAAGGCAATGAAAACATTTAGTTCAGTTTGCCACATTCAGAAGCAGAGCTTCGGCCAGGGCTGGTGCTTGCGCTGTGTGTGTTGTTGAGCTCAGTCCCTTCTACCTCTAGCCATAGTGAGTGAGTGTGCTGGTAAGCTTGTTGCTTACCTGTGCAGGGCAGCAAGGGACCAACAATACAATCTAATGCGCTCTTGAGGTTTCGTTCAAATGGGTGTATCACAAGTTCACAACACAAACCTGAATCTTCAATGCATACTTAGTACTAGATTTAGAAGAGAGGAATATAATCTACAACTGCATATGTATCCATATTCGATTTAGATAACATACAAGGGAAAGATAAGACGTATGGGCCGAGATTGCATACACACAATACACTGCACATGTGCTTAAACTTGGCTGATCAAGGTTACAAAAGGCAGTATTAGGTGCTCGCTTGGGCACACTAAAGTGCTCAGCAGAGTGCATCGCCTTGAGGTATAAACGGTAACTAGGTGTCTGTCGGTTCCCAGCGATGCACTGCCTGACCCCTACACCCCTCCTTTTGGCTGTTGGCTCCACGGTGAGAGCTCCTTTCTTGGTTCCTTCCTCCTTATTCCCCCCCTCTGCTGCACACAAGCTGGGATTTGGGATGCAAAATTAGTCCATGTCTGATGAAACTGAGAGCACAGTAGAGGACTACACGTGCAATGGGCAATCTATTTTTGCATCGGATTTGAGCTGTGGGCCCTTGGGTGTGGGGGGGGGTGTGATAGGATTTGAGCTGTGGGTCCTGGGAGGAAGGATCGGATTTGTGGGTGTCAGGGAGTAGCCCTCATGGGTGGGGAGTTCTGAAGCGGGGGGCCAGGTGATGGATTCAACGAGGTGACAGAAGATATTTTCTCAGGGCCAATTGGGATTTCATCTTTTTGGTTTTTTAAATCCAAAAGTTACAAATTTGATTTCTTTTTCCGACTTTTTCAAAACCACTTTGCCATACCTTTAATCAAACCCCTGAATGGGCCCTTTATTGGGCTGAAAGGTCCATGGGCGCGCTGGGCAGCCTAGATTGCTTCTTTACGTGCTGGGCTGCCTACGTTGATTGCTTTTTTTGCTTCTTCGCATGCTAGCCTGCCCACATAGATTGCTTCGTGTCATGCTGATTTCCAAAATTGTGCTGTTCAGCCTTGCTACAATAGAAAACGCTTAGGAATGCCTAAACATGCTTAAGCTCTAGGCAGAGGGTCATCACTCAGTGCCTAGCATTTTTGTTCTGCTTAAAGTGCCAACTAAGTCAATTATACGCATTTCTGTCTACATCACTGTTGTTTTGCTGCCGTTTCCATTTGAATTTGATTACCATATTTGTTGCTGCCAATTGATATAACAATAACACTGATTTATGTCTGACCTTAGAAGAATCACCGGCTACAGTTGAGGGATCAAGAGAACAAACTCAGAGATGCTTCACATTAGAAGAGGCTACCGATACAATTCTCTTCTGCAGTTCCATTGCACATGACATTGCATACAGGGCTGCGACAATTGGACTGGAGCACGAGCAGCAATCAGAACTTGCTTCTGCTCTTCGCCCAACAGTTACCATGGTAGGACGATCCATTCCAAGGAGTGATGGTTCACTGAAACCACCCCACAGACGAACGCCAAGACATAGGAAAAGATCAGAAGGTGAAATAGTCACAGAAACTGACAAGATGGAAGTGGTTGCTAAAGATCCTGTACTTGTTCGGCCAGTTCCTGAATTTTCAAGGACATCAGGCAGCATGAAGCCCCCAAAGGTCGAATCAAAGTGCAACTGTGCAATTATGTAGAGTTATCCATCAACTCAAGTTGGCAAGGATACTTATTATGATTACAGTGGTTGGTTGTTATTTTTTGCGCGCAAGTGAGTTAACAAATGAACCTGCACCCACCTGCTTCAGTCAGCAGCAGCGGCCTACAATTTTTTCTGGTTGTGGTGCATTTGCTCTTTATTTTTGAGGTAATAGAGTGCTCAACGAGCCATTCTTTTGTAAATTCTTGCTTCTCCCTTTAGCTCTGTGTTTTCTCCAATTTTACTTGTCATCTGATTTGAGTTTGTGCTGAGTGTGCAATTCCAGTTCCTCACAGAGGGAGTGAAGTTTCTAGTTCAGATGTTTGTGCTCTTTTGTTTATTCCTTTGCGACGGATGCGGACTTGCCTTGTTAAGCCGTTGCGCATTTCTGAAGTGCACCCGGTATCTCTGAATACCTGACAGGGAGTGCAGTGCAAGTGTAGGTTCTAACTCAAATGTAAGACAGTGTATCTATATTTACATAGGAAGATGTAAATGTATATTGGCTTATCCAAATGGTGTTGGCGAACATAAAGTCAAATGGAACTGTTCTGCTAAGCAGGTGCCATTTGAATTCGTAAATGAGCATTATGGTGGTTCTAGAGTGCAACTTCAGGACCATGGTCTTGTTCCCTGACGTCCTCAGCCATGTTTTGTAATGGCCAGTCTTGTATTACGTAAATTCTTACATGCTGACCTCAAAAGGCATCAATTAACAAGTACAATACCATGTGGGAGGATAAAAAACCACATATAGCAAACTTTTTCTTACAAATTTATGTGACCCGTACTTGACCTGAAATCGTGCTAAAGTATCTCTTCGAGCTACCAATAAAAAATGGTGTATCAATTATCAAACATCAGCTAGACCTTTTTTTTTTTTGAAACGGTCCGCAGGATCTCTGCCGAACTTGTATTGATATAGAAGAGAATCAGCTAGACCAATTAAAATCACGTATAGCAAACTTTTCTACTACTAATTTATGTGACCGGTACACTAAAATCGTGCGAAAGTATCTCTAAAGGCCCACACCTACCTAAACCATTGTTCTGGCATTGATATTTTTCAGGAACAATCGAACATTGTTTCAGTCCAATTCTGTTGATAGACTTCGACCCTAGTTGTTCATATCAATTGGCCTTCCATCTTGATGATGGCTGGTATGTATCTCCGATCCCCCCTTTAAGGATCATTGTTCTTGTTAGAAATTTTCATCTATGATCATTTCAAGTCACCATATTTAGTCCATGATAACTCTTACACCCATTTAAGTGATTACTCCCTCCATTTCAAATTATAAGTCATTTTGACTTCTTTGAATACTTAGATTTTGCTATGTATCTAGACATACATTATATTTAGATATAAATTGATATAAAAAAAAATCAAAGCGACTTATAATTTGGAACAGAGGGAGTACATATCAATGAGTTTCTTCTATGCACATCTCATGTTAGGTCTGGAGTCCTGAATGTTAACAACCTCAATGTGACTCAACTTCAGTGCCCTCCTCCTGCTTGGTTGTAAGTATCCTGCTAAGTATGCCTGTTCTGAGGTACTCTTCCTTTTCTCTTACTAGGGAGAGCACGGACTTGGTGCGGCAAGACCCCAGTTAAGAAAGCCAACCTGGCTGCTGATATCTTCGGTAAGAATATTACAGAGTACACTAAACTTTAGTACCTGCAAAAAGTTTTTATGAATGCTGAATGATGCACTCCTGTTTACTGTTGAGAAGTTGCCTGGATGTTAACGAATTTGTCGAGATTTATGCAGTTGGGTCTTCATCATATGATGGTATTTATCAACTGGACTTTCATCCAGATACGAGCTCTGCATGCATGTGGACTACAAGTAAGCTGCTCTACCCTTTGTTTTGGTTTGTTTTCTGGAGACATACCTAAAGAAATTCCAGACTTCTGGTTATTTATCTATTGATTTTTTTCCTTTTTTTATTTTGCCCATTTATCGTATGATATTTATTCTCTTTTTCCCACTTGTTTTCCACATTTGAGAGAGGAAACAAGAGTCTCCGAGGAAAATCAACCTGCAGAAAACAAGTTTGTTCCTTTATCCCAAAGGGTGCTTTCTAGTGCAGCCAATCAAATCAGTCATACCATAATTGCCGATACACAGGTTGAGGTTGGTTTCGTTCTGTGGTCTCATACATAATTCCTGCAAGTGAGAATGAAAATATGTGTATGCTGAATGATATCCTATCTTAACTTCTTGTATGGAAATATGGAATTGGAGAATTTTATTTATTTTGTTAAGCATCAGATACCTCCACGCAATATCTCCAATTGTGCATTTGCAGAATCACAATGGTGTTTGTTCATCGCTATCGTGCAATAAAGAATTGCTAGCCACTGCTGCCTGCGCTTCGCTGCGGGTGATGTGCTTGGTATAGGAAATCTTGGGAAATACGGTAAGAGATCATATGTCTAATATATTTTCTCGTTGCGTTGGTATGAAAAGTTGGTCTATTTGGTATATTAAATGTTGAGAAAATATGGGAAGGAAAGGTAATATGTGTTTTTCCATTACAGTGTTGTAAAGGAACATAGATGTTGATTGTCATTACATGATGTCTATTGTAGGCCAGCAAATAATCAATACCACGTTAGTGTAAACAAGTGTTTGATGGAGTTGGACTCAAGCAACTAACACACTTAGATTCAAAACACAACATTTAGTGGGATTACATTATAGGTGGGAAGAGTAAAAACTACAACACAAGTACATGTCCTGACGCGAGGGTTTACAAAAGCGTGAATCAGGATTCACTCCCCTTAGGCGAAAGGACGTCTACGTAAAACTATTCAAGTGGGGGGCTCAAACAGCTAACTCCGCTAGAGTAAAGCATTACATTGTGTGGGATTACATAATAGGTGAAAAATGTAAGCACTATGATACAGGTACATATCCTCCTGTTCATAACAACTTTTAAGGGTCTAGCTTCGGACCGTATTAGCTTCATTCCATGAGGGGGCGTTGTGTCCACTTAGATCATGCTTCGGAGCTTGAGGAATCCTTCGCGAGGATGGCATCAGAGAAGGCACCATCCCCTGGCGGTGGCTGAGTGAGTGGGAGGATTTCTTCTCCATCAACTGACCCTATCTCAGAAATCACCTAGGAGGCATTCGTTGGGGGAGGCGTGGGGGGCACGTCCATAATCACCTCTTGGTTTTTTTCCATGGCTGCAATTGGGATTCCATCTAGTATGGGGCACTCCCTCTCTTCCAAAGTGAGGCTCCTTCTCTTGGCCCTAGTGACAAGGTAGAAATCCTTCAGCTGTTGAGTGTGCCGATCTTCGGCTTGCTTGAAGGCTTCAATTGCTGCAACATCATGACTCTCTGCTCTAGCTAGTTGCTTGTGCCTTAGCCTCCGCAAGTTACACTTCGAGGCTTCTGATCTACTTCTTGGCCTGCTCTGCTCTATGAATGCACTTCCTCAAATCGGTGGCCTACCTGTTATATTGCTTATCTAGGGAAAGCAAGTAGTTAGACATGAACACCGTAGTTGGGTCACCTTCCCGTAATTCAGCCCCCTCGAGGGTCCTCATCCGAGCTACCCACACAGGGCTGCTCCTTACTAAAGGGGGAAGAATCTCATGGGTGTACGACATATTTGCCTCTCATAAATCTGGCATAGGTACTCAAAGCCTTGCGAGTGGCAACGAGGTAAGTGTCCTTGAATCGAAACCCTGTAGTAGACGCTACCCATGGCATTATGTCAGGGAAATCCTTACTTGCTCCGACATAGATGATCACCTCACACTGCTTTGTGCCATACTCCTCATATTCCCTGCCAACATATTCTGGGTGGTCCAATATACCTAGCCCGGTCATGGTTGCATATAGAAGCTTTGGTAAACTAGGCTTGTAGTGTTCCAGCCTTCGTCCGCCATCTACAAGGAAAAGAAGGGGACATCATGTTTGGAAAATATAGGAGAGGGTAAGATTTTTGTAAAGATGTTTATACCTTGGTCACCTTGATAAGGCCAACGGTGAAGAGGAAGGGCGTCATAGCAGGTGGATTCCTTTATGGGAGCAAACAAGGGGGGGAGAAAGATGAGGCTCAATGGAAAGGTAGTCTAGTTAGGTCATGCTTCGCAGCTTGAGGAATACATCTCTCGGCACCACATTTTATAGCTAGAGGAATGCCACTCTATCTAGTAACTCAAGAACCTTTTTTAATGTGGGGGGCCATCGCATCATTGTGTGTAGCGTCGTAAAGTGGGATGGGCAGTGGTGAGGTGACATATTGTGGCAGTGGTAAGTTGGTCACCTAAGGGGCATGCTCCATTATTCATGGGCATGCGCGAGACTTTGTCTGGGCATTTAAGGGGCTATTCGTCCCCGTCTTTCTGAAGGGACCGTTATGCCTAAGAGGGGGGGGGGGTGAATTAGGCAACTTAAAAATCTAACTCTAACTATGGCCTCTTTTTCAAACCTTAGCAAAACCTATGCAAAAGATAAACTATCTAAATATGCAACTACGGTTTTGCTAATGTGTTGCTATCTCTACCGCAAAAGGAGTAGTACAATCAATGTAAATGCGGAAGCTAAAGAGCAAGGTAGAGATATGCAAACTCCCGTCGACGACTCTGGTATTTTTACCGAGGTATCGAGAAGCGCGCAAGCTTCCCCCTACTCCTCGTTGGAGCCCCTCTCAAGGAATCCCCCGCAAGGGCCAAGCTCCCGGTCGGATAACTCCGTGGATGGCCTCGGGCCTTCCCCACGCGCAAGTGGGTCTCTGACGTGCCTTCTGGCAAGCCTCTCCCGGATGCTCACCGCCGTCTTCACTATCGAGCTTCCGGCCGAAACGCCGCGGGCCTTGTTCCCTCCGATACACCAAACGCCGCGGGCCTTCACACCTCCGATACACCAGTGGGGCTTATAAATACAAACCTAGAACCTACGCTAATCACCTAATGAATCACTAAGCACTATGCATGTGGAGATCACTCAAATGGTGTATCAACACCCTTGATATGT